TAACTTTATCACAGTTCAAGGACGTCACAAGCCATATACTACCTAGATTCCAGTGCTTTTTTTTTGCTATTCTATCCATGTATTTTTGTTCTATATTTTGAAATGCTGAAGACAATATTGTTTTTATTTTAAAGTGTTTAAAAACAACTAACTTTCACCAAGAAATTACCTCATTTGGTATTTTTTTCTTAATGTTTTTACATTTAAACATATTTCTTATAGTATTTCTTTTGGTGAAAGCCACATAGCAACATATTATTTTAGTTTTTACATAAAAATATTTTGTTATTGTTTTCATTTTTTAATAATATTGTCAATGAATATCAAAACCCAAGAATGCTGTTATTTCCTTCCCAAATGTTATAAGCATCACTCCATTTTCTTCTGATTTTTATTATTTTTGTTGAAAAACCACTTTTCACAAATAATGGTGCTATTTTCAAAGTAAAATATCTTTAATCTCTGTTTTTAGAATTTCTTTGTCTTCAGTTTTTCTTTCTTTCTTTCCTTTTCTTTTCTTTTTCTTTTTTTTTTGCCATTTTATATAATGTCCCAAGATTTTTTGTTTTGTTTTTTGGTATATATTTGTGGTGTTCATAGGGTTTTTGAATCTATGCCTTAGAATCTTCAATTGCTTTTGAAAGTTTAGTATTCAGACACTTCATCTGTGTTATTTTTTCTGTGACTCCAACTGCAGATACTTTTGACATTTTTCCTGTGCTCTGTATGTCTCATACACTTTTATATAATTTTCATGATTTCTGTCTTTGTGTTTTAATTTGTTCTTTATTATTGATCTCTTTTCTAGTTTAATAATTCTCACTTGTAATATTTGCACCTGATTTTTAAATTGACTTTAAGCATTTTTCCATTTTCTATCTTTTAATCTATTTTCTTTTATATATTAACTGTAGTTATTTTAAAGTCTTTGTCTGACAACCACAATCTTAATCTTTGTGTGACTTTAAAAAAATTATTTTTCATTGAATGTCTTGATTTAAGGTCATTTGTCTCCTTCATTTAATGTGTGTAATTTTTTACTGAGTGCCTGTAGAGTATATTTTAAATGATTCAGATGTTTTATTTCTCTCAAGAGAGGACTTAAGTTTCTTCTGGTACTCAGATTGAGCAAAAGAAAAGCACCTTCATTTACCCCAAACTAGTGGTTTTTTGTTTTTATTTTTTTTGTAAAACTTTCCTTTCTCCTAAGGCATAGCCATTTGAAGTCTCTCAACTGATAGTCAGAGGTTTGTACCTATTCATCTGCACCTTTTCATCCACATGTTTCCAAGTGACTCTTCGTTCATACATAACCTGGTGAGGGAGATGGTGAATGTTAGTTGACATTTTCTTGTTAGTAAGACCTGGAAATTAGTATATGGACCCACATATGACATCTTTGAGTTGAGAACCCCTGCTATCTGTATTGGACATATTAAATATATAATAATAATAACATATTAGTCATAGTTCTTTCAAAGTCTGTGTATTATAACTATAATATCTGGATCAGCGGGGTTATTTCTTTTCTCTTTTTATGTTTATTCTGGAGCAATAAGAAATGACTGTTAAATTTATTCCCTAGGATTAGAGATTTTAATTGGCCTGAATTAATTTTAATATTCAAAAGTGACCATAAATCTTTGTAATCTGCTAAAGATATCTTTGAGTAATTGGAATAGGGCATCCAAAAAAACATGGTTAAAACAATCATTAAGAAAATATTCGAAAATTTATTTTAGCTTATATTCTGTTTAATAACTGATTACCCATCTCTGGAGGTCTCTCCTTTTCATTTGTGCCTTAGCTGTATGGAAACTGAATATTTAACCGTCATTGATCTCACTGTGTTTTTTCAAAAAAAATTTTTTTTAATCCTCAGCAGAGGATATTTTTCCATTTTATCTTCAAGTAGGAAGGGAGAGAGGGGGAGAGAGAGAGATAGAGAGAAAGAGAGAGAGACTGATGTGAGAGGGTCACATTGACTGGTTGCCTTCAGCTCTACCCAACCAGGGCTGGGGACAACCCTCAACCAAGGTATGTGCCCTGGACCAGAATCAAACCCACAAGTCACTGATCCACAGACCAACACTCTAACCACTGAGCAACTGGCCAGGGCTCTTTCAATTTTTTTTCTTCCTCTTCCTATTCTCTGTATTTCCTATAAGCTACCTGAGAGAAATTTCTATTCTTTCTATATACTCACTCCCACTAAGGGTTTATCTATGTATATTCTGGGGAGATACTTAAAACAAATTGCTTAGAGCCCTGACTGTTTTTGCTCAGCGGTTAGAGTGTCAGCCTGCGGTCCAGAGAGACCCGGGTTTGGTTCCCGCTAAGGGCACGTACCTCGGTTGCAGTTTGTCCCCGGCCCTGGTTGGGTCGTGGGGGTGGCAACCACTCGATGTGTCCCTTTCACGTTGATATCCCACCCCCCCCACCCCACCCACACTCTATCTGAACAAAAAGTGGAAAAATGTCCTCGGGTGAGGATAAAAAAACAAAAACAAACAAACAAAAAAACAAATTACTTAGAATCAGAGTACAGAAAGAGGCCTTGTGAAAGCAATCCAGTGTTGCCTCTACCTGACTTCCATCTACTGGAAATGTTATTTGCTGAGGTGGTACGCTGCTTTCTCAGTCATGTCATACTATCACGAAGAACGAGATCTTTGATTTCTGTGTGCATTGATGAATTAACCATAGTTGATGCCCACATCCTAAAAACCACCTGATGAACCTGCAATCACAATTTCCTTTTGGCTTCACTTTTCCACTTTTAAATTGAAATATGTTGTTTTCTTTTTAAATATCACTAAAATCCTGCAATTGAACAAATTTTGCACTGATAAAGTCATAGTGCTAAGAAAGAGTACTGACTGAATTTTTGAGAAATCTGTATTATAAGTGATTTCAACAACAAGTATTGCTGTTAGTATGAAGCAATAAAAGTGTTGAGTCACTGTTTAGTAACATACAGTTTTCTGTTGTTTTCCTGAAATATTTTAGTACACTTTCAGGTTTATTCCTCTTTGTGTTTGGGGGTTGAAGTTTAAAGAAACCAGGATAGATCACTCATACCAAAACTTTCTGCACTGTAATGTGAAAGTATGTCCTACATATAAAAATGTCCTCAGGAATCATTAACTTCTTGGTGTAGAAGTGTTCAGTCCTTACTATCATGAACTAGGGGCCAGAGTCAGTATTTGTTAATTTATCAAATGAACTGAAAATATCTAATTAAGTAAGTTGGGTATGTTGCACTTAATTGCATATAAGTGGTAATAAATATACTTAGGAGTGAAACTAATAAACCTATTGCCCAGTTATTAATTGGCTTTCATAAAAACCATTCTGTACATCTAGCTATAATTCACTTAATTATATTATAGTTATTGGCTACAATTCATATCTAGTTGAAATAAATGACAAAAGGTTAAAGCAACTTATCTCAGAAGTCATTAGACTAAGTTAGATTATAAAACCTTCTATAAATCATATGACTTACTTTTATTTAAGAAATCTAATTGGTGGATAGCAAATCAAATTACATTGTCATGTATAGGTCTAAAAATGTATAGTTTTATACTGAAACTATTTCTAATAAATTATTTTTCTAGCTAAGAAATAGATACAACATTTAATAAATTCTTTGCTTGAAGAAAAACAAACTATTAAGATGTTATGGATTTCTAAGTGTATTTTTTTTAATCGCAGAGGATGAAATTAAAAGTAGTTATAAAATCGGACAGGCACTGTTTTTCAAAGGGCTCGGGTTTTCCAATGAAGCTTGCTGGCCTGGGAGCTTGGCCAGACCGGAGGTACGAAGACAGACATAGAACAGAACCAGGATGTGGACAGGCAGGCTCGGCTAGATATCAGAGGAGGAGGTGCGTCCTGCCAGGTGGAACATGGTGTCTGAATTATAAACGTGATAAATACTAGGCCAGGAAGGCAAATCAGATAAAGTTTACAAAGGAGAACAGAGTAAATATTACTGACAACATGCTGCTTTGGAAACTTTTACACTAGAAGTAGTTTTCTTGGCTTCATTTCATTTGCATTTTCTCTTTACAAAACACTCTCTATATGTTAAATAAAATTTTTGCATGATTTTCTCCTTCTTGTCTACTTTATAAACCTTTTATACATATGCATCAACAGGTATTTCCTAAGTCATCAAACCATTTATAGTATATTTGGTGAGGAAAGGGAAATACAATAAATTATGTGAAAATGTTTTTCATAGCAAACAAAAAATCTTATAAGTATAAATTTTCATTCTAATTATTATGGTAAACCTCATTATAGGAACCGAAAAATACTTGGCAAAGGTTGAAGGGCTAAATCATAATCAAATATGGCATGATTATGGATATTTATTAATCATATTATTTGATAAGTATCTAAAATGCTGACATGTGATACAAATTTTGATAGGGTATCATAATACTGTTTATACCATTTAAAGACTTACTGGGAAAACACAAATGGATGTACAAAACATGAGGTTCATAGTGACATCCACAACATACACTCTGTAAGAACTAAGTAAAAATCCACCTTAATCTGGAGCCAACTATGAACAACTTGTAGAAATACTGTTAGCAAGGAAGAACAGGATAAAGAAAAATAATAGGCTCTAAAGTCTATTCAAATTCTTAAATTCTATGACTATTGTAGAGAAAATTATGTAGCAAGTTTTATCAAATTAAATTCTTTAGTTTTAATAAATGATTTAATATTTTTAAAACATTTTTTAGGTTGTGCAGTGGAATGTTTTCAGTCAAAAGTGTTCAATTTTGGTTGTATAATCAGTTTGCAAACTGAAAAGGTGTTTATGAGTTTGTAACATTTTACGTTTCTTCATTTCATAATGAGGGCTGTTTTATTATTTAAACAGTAAACATTATTACTCATTTAGATTATTTTTAAACTAACTTATATTTAACTCACCTTCTAGTCATATCTTTGACCATTATTTGTTTGATATTTTTCAGTGAGGCCCACGGTAATAGAAACTGATGTTTATGTAAACAGCATTGGACCAGTTGATCCAATAAATATGGTGAGTGATGAACATTAAAAACAAATACTCTGGCATAGAATTCTCAAGTATATACTTCAATAATGGAATGAATATGTAAGTGATTTATTTATTATTATATTTTTTAATCCTCACCCAAAGATATTTTTCCATTTATCTTCAGATAGAGTGGGAGGAAGGGAGAGAGGGAAAGAGAGAGAGAAACAGGGATATGAGAGAGACACATCGACTGGCAGCCTCCTACACGACCCTGACCAGGGCCGTGGATGAAGCGCAACTCATTGAACCGCTGACTATTGGTCTGCAGTCCGATGCTCTAACCGCTGAGCCAAACCGTCCAGGGCTGTAAGTGATTTCTGATAGCTAATTCTGAATGAGTTGAGGGCAACACGTCCAATTACCCTGTACCAGTTATTAGGAACTGGAGCTAAAATATTCCTATATTTAAGAATGTATAGCTTTTTACCTCAGTGTGCTGTATTTGGTAGGAATTATGCTAGGGAATATAAATTTATCATCTGATCCATCAAGAGTGGATCCCTGAAGAACCGTGGAAGAAGATGACCTGACGGGCTGAGGGAAAGTAGTCAGTCAGAGAAGGGAAGGGACTAACCGGCAGAGAAAGGGTCAAGAGAACTTCCAGCAATTCCCTTACCCTGCAGCAGGAATGCAAGGTGAGGAATTAAGGCGGAAACAATGTCTAAGTCCCTTATGAAGGATAGTCTTGTAAACCATAATTGGAAGTTTAGGTATTGTATGAATTATGTCCCCTTGGTTAAGAGAAATGACTGGCAGCTTTCCATTAGGAGCATGTCATAGGCAGGTTTATATTTGGAATAGATTATTCTTACAGCTTATAAAAGATAGATGTAAGAGGCCAGGCCAGCACTAGAGGAACCAGTTAGGAGATTGTTGTATTAGTCTCAACAACAGATCTTGACAGCCTTACCTAGTGCAGCAGCGATTGAAATGGAGAAGACAATAGTACATTTCAGAAATATTAGATGAATGAATTTTCAGAATTAAGAAGTTATTGGTAGTGCATAGGCTGACTCTGAGGTATAGAAATGAAAATGGTAATATTTGAAATAGGGGATATAGCCATGCACCCCAAAGGCTAATAACACATTCAAGAAGATCTGTCCAGCAATAAATAGGAGTTTAAACTGGCTGCTCAGGAAAGAAGTTATGACTGAATATAGAGTAACTGGGGAAGGGAAGAGGGGCAAGCAGTATATACTATAACTTAAAACTTAATACAGCCCTGGCCAGTTTGGCTCAGCGGTTAGAGCGTCGGCCTGCGGTCCAGAGAGACCCGGGTTCGGTTCCCGCTAAGGGCACGTACTTCGGTTGCAGTTTGTCCCCGGCCCTGGTTGGTTGTGGGGGTGGCAGCCACTCGATGTGTCCCTTCACGTCGATGTTTCTCTCTCTCTCTCCCTTCCTCTCTCTCCCTCCCACCCTATCTGTACAAAAAATTGAAAAATATCCTCAGGCGAGGATAAAAAAAAATTTAATACATAAAATCATCCCAAAGAAGATGGAGATGAAGAACACAGATCTAAGGACCAGATGTTTAAATGAGTTCAATGTATATAAAATGCAGGTGGAAGAAAGAGAGGTGCAGGAAAAAGACATGGAAAAGTCAGAGGGGTAGGGGGAATACCAGGGGAAGATGGTATTACATAATCTGAGAAATTAAAGAGCATGAAGAAGCAAGAACTAATAATCAATTGTACATGAGACTCCAGTGAAATTCAAGGGAAGTTCATTTAGGATGGAAAAGGATAAAGTGTGTTATCTATGTTTTATCTTTATATATTGAATGGATAATGATTTATTACTGCTTGAAGGATATAATTAATTCCTCTAATATAACCGATAAACATTATTAAAAATAGGTTAAAAATGTTCTGTTCCAAACCCTAATAATGCCGTTTCTGTGAGTTAAATATTACTAGGGCCCATCCAGTGGTCTCGATAATGTGTTATGTTCATCTCCCTTGACTGTGTTTGCTGTGCTAGCCTTTCAGGACGCCCAAACCAGACACTGCAGACTAGGTGGCTGACCACAGAAATGTATGTCTCCGGTTCTGAAGGAGAATAGTCCAAATCAAGGTTTTAGCAAGTTTGGCTCCTTTCTAGGCCTTTCTCCTGTTGCTGATGCCCAACTTCTCGCTGTGCCCTCACATAAACTATTTTCTCTGCCAGCATATACCTCTTGTCTCGTTGTGTGTCCAAATTTTATCTTCTTATGAGGACACCAGTCAGATTTAACTGAGGGCTAGTCTAAGAACCTTATTTAAATGTAATCACCTCCTTAAAGGACCTTGCTCCAAATACTTTACATCTTGAGGTACTGGGGGGTTAGGGGCTTCCACATGTACATTTTGGGGGAATCAATTCAGCCCATAAGACCATTCAAATATACTTCTTTAAGATGTCACTGATTTTCTCCCTTACATTATTTATTCATTATTGCAACAATTTTGTTTTTTTATAACAGCGATTGAACCACTTTATATCCGAATAATAATTAAACCCAACAGTAGTCTGTGTTCCTCATTCCGATAGTATTATACTCAGGCTGGTTTTCTTCTTACTCAACATGATGTTCACATGATTGTCATTAACTTTCCCAGCTGCATGCATTGACTGTTGTACAAACAGCATTTGGGTCAGGCAGTAATGGGCATGGTTGCTACCTTGTTGGAAATGAATATGGATGGACTGTGGATAAGTGGAATCTGAGAGTCTGAAATCAGAAGCTAACTCTCAGAAAAAAGGTAGCACTAGAGCAAATATCTGTCAAGAATTAGCTACATCTCTGAGATATGGAGAAAAGAATCTTAAAGCAAAGAAAAGGAAAAAGAAATGAATATCAGACCTTAAGGAATATGTACATTGAAGGAGCTATGAAACGAGGCCAATGTAGTAAGTAAAACAGGACGGTTGGCAAGAAAATTGTGATAAAGCAGTGGCAAATAAACCAAGAATAAAGAAAGTTTCAATGAGATTTTTAGCATTAGCTCTGTTCAAATTTAATTCCTGTAAAACCAGTTGATTTCTGTGAATACGAATCACTCTAAATATATGTGTATGTTATTTAACATTATGCAAATATGAGATTTCATAAAGTAATATATTACTAAAATCTTAATTTTCTTATTAGGAGAATCTTCAAATGTTCATTTATAATTAACCAATGCTTAGAGAAGATAAGGCTGTTTAAGCATATGGCAGTTTACATTTTCCTGAATTGTATACTTTTTGTTTTGTGTTTTTCTTTTCAATTTGAATTAATTCATTGAAGAAAAATATATGATCATTAAAATGAAGAGAACTAGGATTCCAGGCTGTATGAGTATTCCAGAGATAGTTTGATAAGGATGGCTACCAAGAGGCATTTATAATGATCTTACTGTTTCAAAGTTTCATGGTACTGAAGATTCATTTTCCCAGTGATGCAAATTACACTCATAATCTTGAATAGTGGTAGTTTTCAAAAAAGCTAATTAAATGAAATTGCTATTAAAACTGGTGATACTAAAGTACGTACAGGAACACATAGGAATGTTTGATAGTGTTTATTAAAAAAAGACGTATTGTGATATAAAGGATTAATAAGGAGCACTTTACACAGAAAAATGTTTTAACCAAACAATACAGAAAAATTAGAATTTAGTTTTCATAACATGAACAAAATTGCTTTGAATGTGAATGAATCATGCAGGCTAACTTGAGTATAATGAAGCAAGCAAGAAGGTAGGTTTTTCAAGTGGAATGTGTGTGTGTTGGGGGTGTGTGGGTGTATAGTTTTATAATCTGTCTGAATATGGTAAGAAATAACTTTTAAGTTTTTTTGCTTTATCTTGTTTTTATCAGCCTCTTACTTGGTAATAAACTCTTCAGATATATAACTTGAGTTACAATATTCTAAATATATTGGAAAAGCTAGTGCTCACAGAAAAATGAATTTCTCCATGAATTTCTTCCATTTTAAGGATCACATTTCTTCATCATGATTTGTACAATTGGCCTTAATGTTTAATATGTTTATCTCTTTTTCTTTCTTTTTCTGTTATACCTCTCCTTCCTTCCCTCTTATTGCTGCTTCTAGATTTAAGAAAATAAAGCCAGAAGCATAGCTTCTACATATCAAGGAAACCCTGTTTATTCCTTTTGCTATATTAACAGGAAATAGTTGCTCCTTACCAAGTACATTAAGTTGAGAAATTATGAAACAGCAAAAGCATAAAAACAAAATTTTTTCTCTATTTGTATAATTGACCTGCATATGCTAATGGAGGGGAAGAAAAGACATTTAGTTTTTCTAGATGTGATTAATTAAAGTAATTGAAAAAATGAATTTATTTTTAGCAGTTATAACTTTATTTTCTTGGTTTAAACAATACTTTAAAGCTTATTACCATAGTTTTAATTTTTTTACTTTTTTATATCATGTTAACATATTATTTTTGGCATTAGATACTCAAATCTATTTTTTTCATGTGTTTTACTTTAAAACAATATAAAATATAGGTATATTTTGATTCAACATTAACAGAGATAAAATAAGAAGTTATAAATAAATAAGTGTTGCTTTCATTTCTATGTTTTGACTCAGTGTGCTCATTTACCCATATATATGGCATTCAAGATCTTAGAATTTAAAATTAAATTAACCTCTGATCTTCAAATAATATAAAAATGGTATTATATTTTGTATAAACAAATACATTTCTATCTCATTTCGTGGTTTTGTTTGTCTTACACTTACTACATATATTATAAGAGGTGTTTTATTGTTCACTAAGACGGACTGCTTGCTTCCTTCCAAGAAGCTGAAACATCGAGACGGGAATGGCTAAGAAGTGACAGTTACAGCAAATCAGAAGAGCAGGGCCCAAGGAGAGGAGCCCATGGCACAAATGATGACTCTAGGCTGTTTTGTTATGAAAGGAATTTCATAAAAAATACTTTGTCCTTATTATAAAAGAAATTCATGCTCAATATGGGAAAGT